TTGAGAACACCCAAAGAAGGCAAACCTCGGTGTTTTCCGTCCAGCCGCTAACCGTCACGACAGCAGAGCAGTACAGCACTCCATCGCTAAACTTTGCGACCTCGTTTTGGAAATACGATGAGCGAATGTTCTAAAAGAATGCTATCTCCTCGGTGGTTTGAGGACATCTCCACTTAATTGATTTTTCTGAGGATTTATTGAACAATTCAGAGAATGTGATCCTTTCTAAAGTGCAGAGGGGCGCTGTCCGGCTTGGGAAGGGCATTTTGCGCTTTCGCTAGCTGCTGTGACTATTTCTTGCCACGTCACACCTTGATGAGACCTGTAGGCTCTTGCTAGGGGTGAAGGAAGCTCCTGCTATTGCTCAGCTTCGCAGAAGTATGCACGTCCCCCTCCGCAAGAGACATCGTCAATGATCGATGGGAACCAGGAAAATGCCCCACCCCCCTTATGCCGAAGAGTGCGCAAGGAAGTGATGCGCCCCCCCCCCCTAAAGTATGTAGACAGCAGCCAATCAGGATTACCCTCCCCCGAGCCCCTCTCCGGTCCACTTTTGACCGGTGAAAAGTTAAAAGTTTTATGCCACTGCAACTGCGGACACATTCGCCTTACATTCGGCAGAGACGGCCTCCGGAGGTGATTGTACACTTTGTTTACGAGCCGATTTTCCTCTAAAAAAATTATTTCCGACTTGAAGACGTACCTCTTCTCCAGGTATCCTTATATTCTTCGTAGCCGGATTGTATGAGAATTTCATAGAGAGCTGTGCGCCAGTGAGTGCCGAACATTCGATAACGTTGTCACCGCCCTGAATATTCAGGAAATTTACAAGCGTACCTCCAATTTGATGCCGTATTCTGGACTACCCATGTCATCTTAGGCGCTCTGTTCTATCAGTTCTCGCCCTCCATTTACCCTTGTATCAAATTAAGTTGAGAGAAACCTGTCATATTTTTTTCAAAACTGAGCTTTCTTTTTATTTAGAGACGTATGAGATATTTCAGGAACATACGGAATCATTATTACGGGGTTCTTGCAAGCATTTGAGCACCTAGTGAAGGCTATCGCTCACAATACTGGCCGTCATGACGCAAAGTTGGACTTCACATCGCTACTGTAGGACATATACGGCTCATCCTTTTCTGAGCTGGGCTGGCATTGTGACTTTGAAGCACCTGTGCAGACCACTCTGGACCTGCCAAAGCTTCAGTAATCTGGCGCGTTGCTGTGTAAAGGGATTACGCGTGGGAGCGCTTCCGTTATCGCAATAGTTTAATGACGCACAGCTTCCCAACGCTAAATTCACAACCGGTCCATTCAAAGCTCATTTATTCGGGAACTATAGGCCTTGGCGGCCAGCTCTTCTAGTGTGGTATGCTATGACCATATGCCTTGCGTCGGGGGTGGCAGAAGAAAGAAGTTTAAGGCAGCGCTTTGAGGGTCGGTGCCGATGGCGCCGGATTTCATTCTTATCCATATTGAAAAGAAGGAGAAGTAACACTCCAGCGAGTGCGACTATTGGGAGGAGCATTCCTTCATATACTACTGGTACTGCTCACATGTATCGACCACCCCTCCGCTGGGTAGTGAGTGACCTACTTAGTGCCCTCTATCTGACTTGCTCTATCTACCCCTTTAGCCCTATTTATACTGAGTGTTTCAAATCCCTCTCGATGTATGCCTTGTTCTACCCTTACTTTTTTGATTTTCCACCCACTCTCAAATCATGACCTTTTAGTTTTTGATGTAATAGAAGACCATCACTGTGGTTGGTAACTCCGTCTTTGAAGATATGTCAAAGTCATCTCTTCATAGCAGGTACCCATTTTGTATCGTATACTACTGCTTATAAGTTATTCCTTAGTATTAGTGTCTGCAGCAATTATTACGACTCAGTATGTATGGTATCACTCGTTATTGAATAGCATCGCTATTTCTGGCGCAGTTCGGCAACGGCAGGGGGGAGGCATTTTGTACTATCATTGCTTCCTAGTTCCGGTTTACAAGTCTCACTCTGGCGAAACCTGTGAACTCTTGTGAAGCTGGAGCAAGGTCGTCAAGCCATCATGTTAAAACCTGTCAACTCGAGAAGAGGCTGTCTAGATAGGTCGACACGTCGATGGGAAGTAGCAAAAGTGCAAAATGCCCCCCCCCGTCGCCGAACTGCGCCCTATTTCTTAGTATTATTGTGTGTCATCTACAGTCGTCATCCTTGCACTTGATAGGGGCGTGTCGGCGAGAAGGAGCGTGCACACTGTTTG